CTCATCTTTTATCTTGAGGTCACTAGCATCAGCCATTGGAGCATGGTGTGCTGCTGTAAATCACATCCTCTTTTGGTTGGAAGATGTTAAGCCTCTATTCAAAATGGATGTTGAGGCAACATAAAATTGTAAAAAGAAAAAATCACCACATAGTCATGTTAAATATTCAATGTGCATCAACTTCCTGTATATACAATATATTCAAAATACACAAATCAAGGATTAATAATTTATGATGTCTTCTAAAGTCCTGGCAACAGTGCATTTCCCCAAATATAGCAAATTTAATTTCTCTTATCAACATTTCCTCTTAAGCAATATATAACTGTAGTTGTGTATTACCTTCATGGTGTATTTCTAGTCTGTTAGTGTAGAGAAATACTAACATTCCTTGGGATGAAAGTTTTGTAAAATGTTGTATATTTTAGATTTGTCCATTTATTTATGATGTCATTGGCCCTGTTCCTCCTGTTCCTAGATCCTTGGTTAGAATAGTTGAACATTTTTGGCCTATGTGCTTCGTGGCTGATATTTTGACTGTCAACCCTAGTATCAAGAAGCTTTTAGTTTGACATTTTTTCACTACTGTGATACTTTGATCATTTAGCTCGGATGATGACTTATTGGCAATTAGCAAGTAATTTGCTAATCTGGGCCAATACTTTGGGATTTTTCAGATAAAAATTTATTTAAGGCTGGGTGTGGTGAATCCTAGCACTTGGGAGGCAGAGACAAGCTATTCCCTTTCAGTTGGAGGCCAGCCAGGTTGACATAGCAAGTTCTAGGACAGTCAGTGATGTAACAGAGAGACCCTACCTCAGAGTAAGAACAACCATCATTTTAGAAAGAATCAACTTGTTGAAAGTCTTCATTGACTTCTTTAAAGTCCTCCACCCTGGCTTATGGGTTCCCTTCCTTCCAGTGACCTGTTTCCCTGAAAACCCTGGAAATTCCCTCCCCCCGCCCTCCAATTTGCTTCTCTCTGCTTCCCCAAGAGCTTTGGTGGGTTGGAATAAACTTATCCCTTTTTGACCCTCCACCCCCAAAAGAATCAACATGGATTGGACAGATTTTTATTAATTGAATAAAACATTTTATTATATATCATATACAAGATTGTTACAGAAGGACATTTTAATGTAAATATTGTATGTTGAATATATCTCTCCCCAATGTTCCCTCATTCTCCCTTCTCTCTTTTCACTCCTCTGTTCTGTTCCCTAATTTGATTTTTATCTCGTATTCCACATACACACAGGATCGTATGTATCTCTATGAAGATCTAGAAACCAAATATGAGAGAAAATATGTTTGTTTGAGACTGACTTTATTTGCTTTATATGATCATCTTCGGTTGCATCCATTTTTCTGTAAATGATACAGCTTTGTTCATCTTTATGGCCAAACAAGTTTTCACTGTGTAAACATACTGAATTGTTTATGTACTTCTCTGTTATTAAACACCTAGACTGTTTCCATCTCTTAGCTGTTGTGAATGGGCTGTAGGAAATATTGATGTGTGTTTCTGTGGCGTGTTGATTTGTAATGCTTCTTGTATATACTAAGGAGTAGTATAGTGTTTTGTTTTTTTTTTTTTTTTTAAGAAACTTCCATACTAATTACCTTATTGGCTAGACTACTTCAGATTTCTACCAGCATTATATTAATCAAGGATTCCCTCTTGTCTATACCCTTATCAGCATTTGTTACTTATTTTCTTAAATTGATTAAGGCTGGAATTTCAGTGTGTTTTAACATGTATTTATTTATCTGATGGTTAGTAAAGTCAAACATTTTTTCATGTATTTATTGGCTATTTTGTTTTTATTATTTTTGCGAGCTGTAAGTTCATTTCATTAGGCTATTTATTAATTAGGGTGTTTGGTTTTTATTTTTGAGTTCTTTGTATATTCTAGATATTAGTCTTCAGACATAGACCTAGCAGAGATGTTCTTCCACTTAGCCAGCTATTTCTTCACTCACTTAACTGTGTGCTTTGCTATAAAGAAACTTTAATTTCATGAGGTCCTATTTGGCCTTATTTTCTGAACAAGTAGAGTTTTATCCAGAAAACCATTGATTGTGCCTATATCCTATTGTGCTTTTCCTCAAACAGTTTCAGAATTTCATGTCTTACATTAAGGTATTTAATCTATTTGGGGTTGATATTTTGTACAGGATGAGAGATAGGGATCTTGTTTCAGTCTAAGTTTGGACATCAAGGTTTTCTAGCATCACTTTGTAGAGGTTACCTTTTCTCCAGTGGCAAACCAGATGGGTTTGTATCTGAGTCGTCCAGTGTACTCCATGGACTCAGGAGTCTAGTTTTGTGCTGGGACTCTGTTTTTATAACTATGGTCTGTAGTGTAACATGGAGTCAGGTGTAGTCAGTATTCTTTTTGTTCAGGATTGCTTTTTGGTTGTCAGGGGCATTTCGTATTTTCATATGAATTTTGAAATTTTTTTTTGCTTCTGTGAAAAATAGCATTAGAATATTGATGAGTACTGAGTTGAATCTGAAGATTGCTTTTGGCAGTACAGCCATTTTCAGAATATTAACTCTTCTAATACATGAGATCTTTCCCATCTTGTATAGTTTTTATTACAGAAAACTTTTACTTTTTTGGTTAGTTTTATTTCAAGGTATTTTATTATAATAATTTGAAGAAGTTGTGAATAGGATTTTGTCCCTGGCTTTTTTTTCTCAGAATCAGGATGTCTGTTTTTGAAAGATGTATGTAGACACAGACATGTAGACACAGTCATTTCATTCCAGTTAATATTCAGAATTGTTGGCATAATGAATAGGTTGTAAATTCATGAATCGTCTCGGTGTTCCCTGCCGTCACAGAGTAGTCACGAAATTTCCTTCGATTTTTGATGAATTGAAGTAACCATTAATAGAAACATTATTGTCTCCAGTTGTTTTTGTTTTATGTACATTGGTGTTTTTTTCTGCATGTATTTCTGTATCAAGGTGTCAGATCTTGGAGTTACAGACGGTTGTGAGCTGCCGTGTGGATGCTGGGATTGAACCCAAGTCCTCTGGAAGAACAGATAGTCAGTGTTCTTAACTGCTGAGCCTTCTTTCCAGGCCCCTGGTGTATGTTTTCATCAATGACTAAGAGAAGCAGTGCTGTGGGATGAAAATACTCTGGCTTTGGAATTCTTTTAATTTTCCAGCTCTGTGATCCTGAGAATATTGCTTAACCTATTTGGTCATTTTTGTTTTTGTTTTGTAGACAGGGTTTTCCCATGTAGTTTTGCCTATCCTGGACTCTCTTTGTACAGGCTGTCCTTGTGGTGGTCATTTTTAATTGTCAACTTTACACAGTCTAGAATCACACGGGAAGGCATTGCCTCAATCGGGTTGGTCTGTGGGGATTGTTTTAATTGATATGGGATCCCTAGCCTGAAAATATTTCATGGTTTTGTGTCTAGACTATATAAGAGTAAAGAAAACAAGCCGAGTGCTAACCCTGAGTCCTGCGTTCATTCTCTTTGCTCTTATGTGGGCAGCTGTTTTACCCAGGTTTGGTTTTTGTCAACTTGGTACAAGTTAGAGTCAAATTGGAAGAGGAACCTCAACTGAGAAAATGGCTCTGTCAGATCTCCTGTAGACAAGTCCTGGGGGCATTTTTCTGACTGATAAATGATAGAGGAGGACCCAGCCTCCTGTGGGTACTGCCACCCCTGGACAGTCCTGGTTTGTGTAAGAAAAGCTGGGCAAGCCCTTGGAACAAACCAGTAAACAGTGTTCCTTTATGGCTCCTGCTTTAGCTCCTGCCTCAAGGTTCCTTCCATGCTTGAGGCCCTGACTCCCCTTCATGATGGACTGTAAGCTGTAAAGTAAAACAAACCACTTCCTCCTCTAAGTTACTTTGTCTTTATCTCAGCAAAAGAAGGCAAACTGTGACATGTCTTAAGCATTTTCTCCCGTGACTTTACTGACAGAACTTAGAATTGTGATTTAAAATAGGCTATTTCCCCGCGAAGTTGCTTTTGTCGGAGTATTTTATCACACCAACAGAAACAAAGCCAGGACAATATCTTTAAAACGTCAATTTCTCTTTATTAAAATGGGCATAAGAGCTACTTCAAAAGCTTGTTAAGAGGACTGAATGAAATGTAAGTAACTTGGCTCCTATTAATTTGTTAACTTTTTATATGTAAGAATTTTAATAGGCGTATGTTTAACTTCCGTGGTTATTGAGATGATGAGAGGGTGATGTAACTCACTTGGCTCATAATAAACAATGTGCTAGTTAAGAGTTATGTGCTGATGGTAACAGATTGCTTTTGAATGTTCTTATGACTTCATATTCATAATTGGAAATTTGTGTTGAGAATTCTATATTGTGTTTGTAGAGTTGAATTTTGTTATCATGTTTCTTGAGTCTTAGGGGAAAATGAAAGGAAACCGCCTGTAGCAGCTGTATCTATGCTTCATAGTGCCATTTCTTGGCATTATGCTAGTTTGTCTTTGTTTGTTTATTTTGGCTTGAAATTTACTATTCAGGCCAGTCTGGCCTGGAACTCAACAGAGATATGACTGCCTCTGCAGTCCTAAATGCTGGGATTAAAAGCATGCACCACCATTCATGGTCAACAACAACATTCATTCATGTGTTGTGTGTGTGTGTGAGTGTTTGTATGTTGTTGTTTGTGTCTGTTTGTTCCCATGCTGTGGTACACATGTGCTGTTTGTTAGCGGACAACTTACAGGAATTGATTCTCTCCTTCCTAATGTGGATCCCAGGAATTGAACCCAGTTTGCCAGGGTTGGTGCCTTTACTGACTAGGTCATCTCTGCATCCCTGCCTGGCTTACTGTAATTGTTAAGTTTTATAAGTAAGCATTTTTAAACTCTTAGGTATGAGCCACTTAATGTCTTGACTTCTTTGTATATTTATGCAGCTTAAATGATGTCTTATACCATTTACTTTTTAAGTCTGACCTCATTTCTAAAATCCTAACAAACATATTTATTTGGTTTTCAGGCATGTACTGGCATTGAAAACATCGATGAAGCTATTACATTGCTTGAACAAAATAACTGGGACTTGGTGGTAAGTACTTCATTCTTTGATCTATGTTCTAACTTTTATGAATTCTTGAATGACCTTTACTTTTATTGTGGTTCAACAAACCATAGACAGTCTAAAACTTAGCAGAATGGATATATTCCATTTTCATCTTTAATATGAAATCATTTAATTCAATATTAAATTACTGGGTGACTTTGAATGTTTAGATAGTTGAAATGATCATAACACTTTTTTCTTTTTGCTGTCTGATGGTCATCCTTCCACATAGTATTTTTTTTGGCAGAGATGCCTGTGTTCCTGAATGATGAGCACTAGTCTTGCTTTCTGCTGATGATCACTGCATTTTAAAAAGTTATTTAAGAGTTAGTAATCTACTCAGCTTTCTTTCTGAATTGTGGGAATTTTATTAGAAAGGTGGTTTAGCTTTGAAAAACTTTTTGATAATAACAAAAGGGAAGGCATAGCATACACTACACATTCCTACCTTGCAAAACAAACCAAAGCTCGATTGAACTAAAACAACACTTTTAGTAAGATGGCATACCTTGGAAATATGAAGGGAATTGAAATCACAGTTTTGAAAGGTGATTTTTATTTAGTTTGCTTTTTTTGAGACAAGGTGTCACCATGTAGTTGAGCCTGTCTTGGAACTTACTTGGTGGTTGAGATTGGCTGCAGACACACAGTAGTCTTGGCTCAGATTCCTGAGTGCTGGGTTGGAGCTGGGCTCCTCCACACCTGGCCAGAAGTGCTAGTATTAAAGTCAGAGTTTGAGATGTCTGCTTAAAGTGAGATCACGTGCTCACTTCTGTGTGTTACGTGGATTTACATAGTTCTTCTGTCAGTGCGTTACGTAGATTCTTTTGTAGTGAACTGTCTTCACTCAGTATAAAATCATACTGCTAATGAATTGAGAAGATGAAAAATTTACAAACAAAATAGTTATGGGCTGAGCATTCCTAATCTGTAAATCCCAAACCCAAATGTTACAGAGTTGGAATCTTTTGTTGTTGACATGCCACATGGAAAGATCTAGATGTTGGAGCAGTTTGGAGTTTATAATTTTGGATGAGGGATGTTCAAACACATTCTATGTAGATATTCTAAAAACTGGAAAAGTTACATACCTATCTGAAAAAATTGTGGGTTTTAAATATTTCAAATAAAATATTCTAGCTGAAATCTCTTTTAAACTCATAACTCACAGATAAAATACTCATTTCAAAGTTTTATGTATATTTTTTACAGTTTTTATAATTATGTCACTAAACTTTTACCTTGAAAATAGGATTCTATAATATTAATATTTTTATAATCTATGCACTTGCTGTTCCATTAACACTTTTATTTTACTAAGTACAGGCTGCTCCTTTTAAATGTTTGCATAGTATACCATGTTGTTGTAGTATAATAACTTCACCATTCTTGTTCTGGTAGGCATACAAGATTATTGCAGTACTTTGCAATATTGTAAACATTACTGTAGAGAACATTCTTACATATGTGTATTATATAGTTAAGCTACTACTTTTCTAGAAGAAACCGAATATATTCAATTTATAACTGGATTCTAGGTTATGCTGCATGAATATTTTTAGGGATTTGAATACTTAAAGCCTGGTGAACCGCTGGTTTTATTTGTTTACATTTTGCCAACTATATGGAGATGACTCTTTTCACTTAAATCAGTGCTGCTGCTGCCCCCTCCCTTCTCTCTCTTTCGCTCTGTCTTTATTTCTTAGTCTTCTTGTCTGTTTGTCAGCCTGCCAGTCTGTCTGTCTTTTGTACTTTGGTACAGTAAAATTAAGAAGTGTTATAGTCCTAAAGTTGGAAAATGTGCTGAAAAGTTGGTGAGACTTGTGTCTAATTCTTGTGTTCATACATTCAAGATTGCAAATAACTCTCTTATAAGGTAATATTTGTGAATGTTTTACTGTTTTGTTGATTTAGTCACACAAATAACAAAAATTGTGAAAATGCAACCTAGTCCCAAGAAGTCTAGTCATTAGGCACTTTCTCTGATTCTGCAAATTATTTTGAGTATATAATTATTATTCACAAAGAAGTGCTTCTAAGTCCTGTATTTTTAGTACTCTACAGCTGACAGTTTATTTTCAAGCGATTAAACGTTCCATATGCTGAAATTCTGAAAATAAAATGAGCATTTCTATTCTGGGAGTGTGTCTTGCCTCATGTTTCACTTGATATATATTATCCAGTTCTACTGCTGTCTTCCTCAGACTATTATTATTTCCCACATTGTTCTGTACCGATAGTTAAAATAGGACAAATATCATTACAGTGGAGATTATTTCTTAGAAGATGAACCTCAGTTTCTGTTTATATCCAAAAAGGCAAGTACATGAGGAAGAATGACTGACAGTGAGTTAGAATCCTTTAACTGAAAATGACCCTTAGATATGGAAATGTGGGATGTGATGGTTACAGATTGTAATCCAGGCTGTAGAACTGAGTTACTATTTAGTTCCTGTGTTCAGTATAAAGAGAATTTTGGAGGAAAACACAGAACTGTGATTTATAGAGTTTTGCATAACTTAATGTTAGACAGCTGAGGGCAGTGGCAAACATTGGGTTAATATTGCTTCAAGAGCCCTGGCTTTTCAGTCCTTTCAGTTAGTGAGGATGGCTTGACTGAGGAAATGGTTTAGTCTAGTTCCTGCTTGAGCTTTGATGCTAAATGAAATGACACATGCAGGGCCTGTTGCAGTCTAAATTGTACAAGGGTTCTTTGACGGGCAGTCCACTGCGAATACTAGTGTGAACAAATATTTTAAAGAACGGTCTAAGTTTAAAATACTTGCTTATGTCCAGGTTTTAGTCCTGTAAATACTGCTGTATACATAATATCTGGGAAACATGTTTGACCAGTTGTTTCACAGAGGTCATGTACATGTATGTGCATGTGCACGCATGTGGCTGTGAGTGTATATGTGTCTGTATGTGTGAAAGTGTTTGTGTTTTAGAGTATGCGTATGGGAATGTGAGTGTGAGTATGTGTGTGAGTGAGTGTGTATGAAATTCTTTCAGTAAATTAACATTTTCAGTAGAATTCAGCAGGCTCAGTATGGTACTTCACATATATTTGATAATCCAGAAGTAAAATAAAATATAGGCAGTACTAACCCAGACATACTGTATTTGAAGTACTCTGTGTTTGTAATAAATTATTTTTGAACTTTGCACTCAGTTTTGCTTATTTTGTAGAAGAAAAGCAGTTCCTAGTGCACACTTTAGCTACACTTTTCCAACCCGAGATGAAATCGAGCCAGTTGGCATCTATATTTTTAATTCATTGGGGAATTTCTAGTTCTCAAAGATAACTTTGTACTAATAGAAGCATAAATTAAGTCATGAACACAGAACAGCGAAGACCAGTTATCATATATATAATCTGTCCCATTTCAAGTTTTATTGAGGTGTTTTGAGACATTTCTACTCCGTTAATTTTCACTTTTGAAGAAAACTATTTTAATCATTACCCTAAAATTTGGTAGAACAGTCTCTTTCACTATCCTGCTCAGGATGTGGTTGTTGAGGTTCTCAAATGTGAACTAATTTTCTACTTAAAAAGTGTTATGAATGCTTGCAGTTTTATGAATGGTTTAACCAGTGAAATAATGAGTCTGTGTTCTCAGCAACCAGGCATTTTGTGTTGGTCTTCATCATTGGCCTTCAGGTGGCATTTTATATACTTGTATAGCTGTGCTCTGACAAAGGAAGAGTATCTGTGAAGGAATACCTTATACTAATTTTTCTTCCTTGGCCTGGCCATCTTTGTTTCTGTTAAGGAACCATAAGCCCATTATCTTCATAAATACTCAATGTCTCAGGTTTTAGTAGCATAGCAGTCTTACCTTTTATTATTTCTGCTTTTCTTGATGGCTGCTAGACATGTGAAACTGTTTGCCTACATCTTTCATTTCATCCTCACAGCAGCTCTGAAAATTCGATAGTTGATATTTATGTGGACATTGATGCACAGCAAAGTTGACCAAATTGTTGAAGATCACTTCTCTGTTAAGAAATAAAAGTGGGGGAGGAGGGTATGGCTTATGGGTAGATACAAAGTGAATAAACTGTAATTAATAAAAAATAAAAAAGATAAAAAAAAAGAAATAAAAGTGATTGATTTTTTTTTTCCTGCCCAGACCAGTCAGTCCATATAAGATTTTCATAGCTTAAAGTAGTAATGCCAGGATTATTTTTAAAATGATTATCAGAATCTCCTTGTACTCGTACTTGGTATGCTGTTCACCTCTGAATTTTTTCTTGTGCCTTGATGGTAACTTTATACTGCCAGGCTGAAGAGGTTTTTGGTTTATGTGGTTTTCTCAGAGTCTAACAGGAAGACATTTTATGTTCTTACTAGTTATGTCTTCAGCATATGACAGTTGCTTGCCTTGTTTGTTAATTTTACTATTACCAGTCTTTCTGCTATTCCCTTTCCATCATTTGAATATTTTAAAGTCTTTGCTGTTGTTGTCTTAAAATGTTACCATTGTTACTTTTCCTTTTCTGGTAAATAAGCTTGAGGAAAGAGGGAGGAAAATTAATAAGACACTTGAGACTTGAGGGTCAGGGTGGAACAGGTTTTGGTATCCTAGTATCTTACCAGTAAAATTTATATGATCCTTATCTCTGTGGCATTTATTGAGAAATAACTTTTTAAAAGTTCTTTTACTGTGTGTGTGTGTTTGTAAGAACTTCATAATATTTTTTTCCCATTTAGTTTTGCTTGTACTAATCTGCCATAAGGATATTCCATTATATAATACAGTCTCTTTGAAAGTTATTATTTCTTCTGGAGAAAACTCTAGGTGACAAAAGGTTATTAGTATTCAAGGTATAATTCAACAAATGAATATGAAGCAATTGATGTCTTTTCAAACGAAAGCTCAAATTGTTACAAATCTGAAATTCTCTCCAGCAGCAGAAAGACACACATGGTATATACTCACTTATAAGCAGATATTAGCCATATAATATAGGATAAACATACT